CCCCCCCCCCGGTGCCTTTCGTTACTTTACTACTACCTGCTCTAAACGTTTGTTACTGTCGTGTCTGAAAAAAGCGTTTAAATTATAGAAATTGTGAATGCCTATTTATACTAAAAGAGACCATTTTTGCAGCTCAGACTCCCCACCCGAGGACTGTTGATTTGACGGCAGGGGATTTGGGGTGCAATTGGGGTGGGGGTGGGGAAGAGAGCAGGAGGGGGGGGCAGGCTTGCAAAAAAAAAAAAAAAATTAAATTTGAGAGGTAGTCCTCGACTTAACACCCACGACGGACGGACACCCACACACCCCGAATGTCTCTCAACGAGCGAAACCGAGGTTAAAAGTGAATTTTTTGCTCCCACGTATGGTTTTCCTCGCCGCGGTCCGTTAAACCGAATCGCTGCGCTGGTTTAAGCTCAGCCACCTGGTTGTCAAAGTGGATCTGGCTTCCCCCGTCCGAATTTGGTTGCAAAAAAAGGTGTGTGTGTGTGTGGAGAGATCACGGGACACCCCCCCCCCGGGACGCCGCAAAGTGAGCCAGTGGCCAAGTGCCTGGATTCGGATCTTGTGGCCCCGGGGCTGCTATGACGGTCGTAAGAGTGGAAACGGGTCCCAAGTGGCTTTCCGGGGCTGCTATAAATTGGAACGGTCACTAAATGAGCGGTTATAAGTCGAAGGACTAAACCTGCAAAGGGCGAAAGGCCCGGCGGGAGGGGATTGTGGGAACACCGTTGCTTGCGCTGGATTCCTCCCGCAGGTATCTGGGTGCGCACCTGTGCCCTCTCACACGCACCGGGCCCTCCCGCCCCCTCCTGTCCCGCTCAGTTCCGGCTGCAACGACCCAAAGATTCTCCTTCCAGCGCAACCATCCCACAAAGACCAGGAAATAATCCCGACTTTATTCCTGCCGGAAAACCAAGAGAGAGAAAGACGCCTGAGGCGGTAACAGCGCATCCTCCATGCGCGCAGCCAATGCACCGCCTCACAGCCAAGGAGGGAGGCATAATAAATATTGGGGTGGCGGGGGGGGCGTGGAAGGTGGCAGAGACAAACCCAGGGGGGGCTCAAGTGAGGAAGCCTTAAAATAGCGCAATGCCCCCCCCCACACCTCTCCAATAAGCTCAGTCGGGCTTCGATGCGCTCTTGTTTTACATACACATGCACGCACGCTTGTCCAACACGCAGGGACCAGAGAAGAGGGGGGGCCTCCTGCTTTGAGGCAGGAAGGGCTGCCATGTTCCCCCCCCCCACTCCTCATTTGAAATGACTGACAAAAGGGTCGGTGAGTGGAACCCCGGAGGGCTACTGAGTGGAAGCTGCCGGCTGCTTTCAAAGGTGGAGAAGTGCGGATAAAGAGTCTGGCGGTTTGAAGAAGCGTCGCCTCCCACTGTGGAGTCTGTGGGCACCTTAAGGCCTTGTGTGTGTGTGGGGCGGCGGGGTTACTTGTGGCCTTCAAACCACAATCGGAAGGCAGAGGTCACAGCTGGCCAGGACGGGCACCGTCTCCTTCCTTCTCGCTGGGGAGTTGTTTGCTTCTCACAGGTCACCGAGGAAGGTAGTGGGGGGGGGGGGTGCCTTCCTCCTGCCCAAGGGCCCTTCCGACCCTCCTCTCCCAAAGGGGCATCGGTCGCAGGAACGAGCCCCGTGATTGAGCGGAGCAGCAAAAGTCACAGGCAGAACCTCGACATTCTCCGCAGCGTCCTGGACGAAGCGTTTTTCCGGCACGCCGGCTTCATCTCAAACTCTTGGGAGGGGGAGCCCCTTTGGGGAACGATGTGCGTTTCCAGCGCAAAGTGCCGTCCAAGATATTTGTGGGTGTGTTTGTGTGTGTTTCGAGAGGAGAGTCTGTAGAGAGTGCAAAGATGCTCAGAAAAGCAGGATCCCCCGGATGGCGTCTTCGGCTCCGGCTGTTTCCCCTGGCTTCCTCCGTGGAGATGGTGGGTAGGTGGTCTCGAAGCAAAGGAAGCCCCCGTTCCCCCCCCGGGAGAGAACCAGAGGGGCAGCTGGGCCTCCGGGGCCTGGCCTGGCCTGGCCTGGCCTTCCCGTCTTGGCCCAAGCCAGTCCTCCCATCAAAGGAGGTTGCCCCCCCGTCCCTCCCGTTTTAAGTCTTGCAAGTGGCCGGTGTGCCCGACTCTTCCGAACTCCGGCCGGGGTTCAAACTGTATCTGCTTGGCCCCAGTTGGAGGCCTCCAACCCGTGCCCACCGGTGCACAACAGCAGGTATCCCACGTGGACAATGCAGGGCCTACGTACCTGGGGAGGGAATGCAAACTGGTCAAGATGCCAGGCCTCCAAAGCACCCTCTGTTGTGGGGGGGGGGGTTGAGCTGAAAGAAATTGGGGTTGCAGAGACCCCCATCCCACCCCTCCCGGTCAGAGAATGGCAGTCCGTGCGGGTGTCCAGGGGAAAGGTCTGAGGTCCACTTCTCAAATCCCCAGGCTCTGGGCGGCTGAGAGACACTTGGGACTGGAGACCGAGGGGAGCAAGGGGCCAGTTTTAAGTTTCTGGGTGTTACCCCAAAAGAGGACCTGACCTGGGGGTGCCCACATTGCAGCCCTGGTCAAAAGGGCCCAGCAGTTTATACTACCCTGAGGCTTCTCAGAAAACAACACCTGGATGGAAAATTGCTGGTGACCTTCTACCACTGCACCGTAGAGAGTATTTTAACTTACTGCACCTGTGTAGGGTTTGCCCATTGCACAGGGGCAGATAGGACAGCACTCCAGAGGGTGAAGGTCATTGCCCAGAGGATCCTGGGTTGGCCTCTCCGCTCTTTGGAAGAGCTTTAGAGCTCCCGCTGCCTTCAGAAAGTTCAAAACATCCTCAAAGATCCATCTCATCCTGGGCACCACCTTTTTTTTTTTTTGAATTATTACCAACTGGCAGCCGGTACAGGATAATAATAAAAACAAGGACAGAGAGGCTGAAAAACAGCTTCTATCCCAGGGCAGTAACTCTAGTGAATTCTACTGTATAGTGCACTGAAGATGGTATTTAATTTCATTGTGCAATGTGCAATGACCATAAACTAAGCTAAAACAGGGAGGAATACCCGTGTTTGAATGGGAACGACCCAGGTTGCAAATCGTCTCGGCCCAGTTTGAGCAAAGGGTGTGTCCGGATGCTTAAAAGGAAAAGGTCTATACTCAAGCTGGCCAAAATAGCTAGAAGAGCCACCTCAAACCATCCATCCCAGCCACGTTCTGAAAAAGAAAAACTTGCAAATGTTGGGAGAGTTTTGAACTTGAGAAAGAACTGGAAGGTGAGGGGGAGAGGAACACAGAGGAGACACTTATAAAACGATTGGGAGGGAGAGAAATTTTGGTGGAAAGGACGAAGGAGGGAACCATTTATGGATAGAAAGTTCTGTGAGACACAGAGAGTATCACAAACAAACAGCTTCAAAGTCAGCTTCCTTAAATATATTCCTTCCGGGGTCAGAGGTTATAAGGTCCGGGGGCCGTGGAATATTGGTGTGAGGGTGGGGGAGAGAATGATGGACTAGATGGGCTTTTCAACCCCCATCTAGGAAGACTAGAGGTTTTCTTCAGAAGAGACTGGACTACCATTTGTCTGAAAACAGTATAAGGTCTCCTGCTTGGGAAGGGGGTTGGACTAGAAGACCTCCAAGGTCCCTTCCAACACTCCTGAGTTGGCCCATCTTACAATTCCACAATTTTTGGACTCCAGATTCTTAAAGCCAGAACAAAGCTGCAGTGAAGGCAGCCTAGCACAGGAGTCTCCAACCTTGGCAACTTTAAGACTTGTGGACTTCAACTCCCAGAATTCAACTTTAAGACTTGTGGACTTTTAACTCCCAGAATTCAACTTTTAAGCCTTGTGGACTTCAACTCCCAGA